GGTGGCCCTGCACGGTATAGCTCATGGCTTCACTGAGTTACGCAAGCCCCTTCGCCACGACAAGGCAGTGATCCATGAAGGGGGTGAACACAGCTAGTAAACCCCAAATCAGCCCGCGACCACCCTGACTTTGCAAAAAGCAAAATGGAGTAAACCACTGGGTGGAGAGAAATCTTGCGTGCAGGACCACCACAGGATACTGGCCAGCTTTAATCGGCTCTTCCTTTTGCAGTTTAAGACACCTGAACAGCACCAGGTGGGAGAAGGAGCTCCCAAAATCTACAGGAGAAGAAAAATCTTGCTTGAGAATCTCTTCCTAACAGGGGGTCCAAAAAGTCAAGATGGTGGCCCCAGCCGTGCAATTGGAGCCCTGGCGCTTTTTAACTTGTGTTGCAAGATTGGGTCCGCCATCTTGACTTTTTGGACCTCCCTGCTTCCTGCCCTTTGGATTTTTTGTTGAGGTTGCAGCCTGTTCCCACAAGCTCCAGACAGCCAACAAGATAAGCATGTAAAACAGCCCAATTCAGGGCTTAAAAGTGACAACCATGAATCTCACCTGGAAGGCTACACCATCAGAGGGTCATCAAGTGGATCAAGATACACGGTCCATCTGGGCAGTGGCAGCTTCCGTCAACTGACCCTTTCATAATGTTAATCGCTGGGATTCACTCAAGTCCAGGTTTTGCTGCTGGTCCAGCTATCATCCCTACTTCTGAATTTACATACTGGGAAGTTCTGGAGTTGGGGCACCTAAGCCAGTTGTCTCGTTGAAGGAACTTACAGAAACTGACATTAGTTTTAATGCAAGCTCTCCAATCAACTTTATAATATCCTGACCTGATCAACCAGTGGAGGGTTATTTCAAAGATCATGAAATCAGTTTCTGATGATCTTAAAATAAACTCAATATGGGTAGTCCTTGTTTAGGGACCACAATGGGGACCAGCAACTCAGTCATTAAGTGAAGCAGTTGCTAAGTGAAACCACAACTGTGCTTATGATCTGACTTCAGCTTTCCTTTGCTTTTACAGACCTGCAAAGGTCATAAATGCGAGGATTGATCGGAAAGTGACTTTTTCATCACCACTGTAACTGAACGGTTGCTGTAAGAGGCAGTCGCTAAATGAGGACTATGTGTAGAACAAAAACATTAATCTCTGACTTCTGAGAGTTCCATGAACAGCAGTGGGCATTGTCATGCCATGAGATCTTTAATTCAGGAACTTCAATACAGCATTACCTGATAGGTTCTGGATTGATCACCATGTCTTAAAGATCCCTACATTCTTCTTGGCCACATCTAGCATTTGGAATCTGTCAAGATCAAGGATTTTGAATTGTTCAGTATGGGAGCTAGCTAAAAGGATCACCTGCAAGAACTCTATCTATCTATCTATCTATCTATCTATCTATCTATCTATCTATCTATCTATCTATCTATCTATCTATCTATCTGCAGCAATGACCTCAACTGTGGTAGGAAGAGTTGAGTAAAGAACAAGGAAGATTTTCATGCAATATGGTTATATGTGTGGAAGATGCTCTGTTTATTCTAGACTTTTCCAGACTATTCCCCTCCCTTCAATGTTTTTATTATGATTAATTCCAACATTACACTTTATTGTCAGTAATGAGGTATGTATAGTTATTCTTCTGCGAACGAGTTAGATATAACAACATTTAATAGACACACAATGTTGAGGGCAATGGCCTAACTCAATTGCTCGTACAAATGCTTATGTTAAAAATTTTATTCAGAAAGACTGAATAACTTATTCCCAGGAGAAAAATGAATTTATATACAATAGGGTATGTTCTGTTAAGGGAAGAGATAAACCAGCTTTCACAACATCCACAATGGTTCCCTTTCTTCATACATCAGAGTGATTACACAAATGGTCGTTTGGTAGGTAAAGTTACTGAAAGTGCTGTCATATCCACCTTTGTTGAGAACTCAGCCTCGAGTGCTTCCTGGAAAGGGGAAGAAGGCATTCATGAGATTATTTGCATTAAAGGAAAGAAGCTATTTCTGCAAAATAGAGAATACTTGCTATGAACTGAAATGCAAATAGATGTGTAAAATGTTGGAAACATGGATATGAAAATGAAAACAACCAATATGTTTTAATGATGCCTTGTTCACATGGGGTTTACACATAACACTAACAACCAGGAATAGGCAACCTCCTTGCAGTCAAGGCCTCTACAAGTAGACCTCGTTTAGCGACTGCCTCTCACAGTGACCATTCGCAGTTACAACGGTGATGAAAAAGCAACTTTGCAACCAATCCTTTGCAGGTCTGTAAAGCAAAGGAAAGCTGAAGTCAGATTGTAAACACAGTTGCAGTTTCACTTGGCTGATTTGCTTAACAATCAAATTGCCGGTCCCAAGTGTGGTCGCTAAATGAGGACTACCTGTACTATCTTTTTTTGGAGGGAGGTGGGAAGAAGTTCTGCTCCTGAGGAATGCAGGAAGAAAGCATCTTCATTGTGATGCAGTCTGGAGATGCATGGGGGCTGCAAAAATGGGGCTGGGAAGCAGCATGTAGGCCACAGAATACCCACCCCTGATCTAAACCATAAAATATTGCCATCAGGTGGGACCTCAGAAATGTGCCTTTTCCGTGGCTGCCCCTACCTTATGGAATACTTTCCCCCAGCAATCCGGCAGGCCCCCACCCCTCCAGCCTTCTAGAAGGCCATCAAGACTTGGCTCTTCACTCAGGCACTGAGGTAGAGTGAGGGGAGCCTGTGGATGGCTGCTGGAGCATCATGGGAGAAAGATGGAGGCACCAGGTTTTTAGTTTCTGTGTTTATGGTTTTTTTAGTTTTATTGTGGATGTGAGCCACCCAGAGTTGTGCTCTAAGACGGGTGCCCAGACAAACAGTTTTCAAACAAATAAATTTTAGAATTGCAGGTTCAGTTAAGCCAAAATCCAACCACATTACAGCACGGCTTCATGCAGTAGTGGTTTAGAAGCCAGTTTAGCTTTATGTGAACCTGGCTATTAAAACAGGATGGTTTCACCTCATATGCAAATAGCAACCCTCTCTCAGTTGTCAAAGATTTTTCTCCTTTTCCCCCTTGGAACTTTCTAGCTCATCTGGAAATCAGCATCCCCAAGACTTCCTTGTTTTGATATCCCAGAAATAAAATTACCATCATTCTTTCCCCTTGCAGACTGGAAGGGCAAGCTCTCCCTGTGTGTTTTTTCTGAACGTCTGCAGGGCATGCAAGTGCCTACTCATTTTGACTACCAAAGGCTTATTTTCAAAGCATCTGCCTGTTTTCCTTCCATGTCCAAATTATTTAACATCTCCCTTCTGGTTTGGACCTGTGGCTTTGGTTCTTGCAAATACCTCTGATCTAATGTACAGGTAGTCCGTGCTTACCGACTGCCTCATTTAACAACCATCTGAGGTTTCGACAGTGTAAAAAAAAACTTTGCGACCAATCCTTGCATTTACGACTGTCGCCGTATCCTACGGTTACATGATCGCCATTTAGGTGCTTCCCAACCGGCTTCCAACAGAGTTAATGGAGAAGCTGGCAGTAAAATCACAAGTCGTGGTCATGTGGTGTTATGCTTAATGACCATGGTGACTTGCTTAACAACTGAACGGGAAGTGACATACGTCCATCACAGTCATGTGATTTTCCACTTAGCAACAAAGTTGCTGGTCACAATTGTGGTTGCTAAGTGAGGATTACCTGTAATCCCATTATGCTGCAGGGATAAAAGGAAAAAGGTGGACTCGGTTGAATTCAGCAGTTGTGTTACTTCTATGTCAGAAGGCTTTGACTGAAAGAGTACAGAAGCAACTAAACAGGAAAAGGTGAAGGATTCATTGCCACAACCTGCAGAATCGGGCTCTGCTCCCTCATGGATTTTGGAATTTCTCAAAGTGACTTGGGGCTAAACATGCCTGACCCCATCGATGCAGTAGCCCTGCCCTTCTCCTGCGTATCCTTATGCTAGACTGAAATTAGCACCCACATTAGCCCTGAGGATCAGTTCAGATCGATGCCAAGGGAAAGACCCACCAGCTCCCTCTTTGCTTCTTCAATCTTCACTCGAGCAAGCGAAGGGCTCTGAAAAGAACAAGAAGCCACAGTTGTAGAGCCACACACAGGGTTCCCTTCAGACTTTGCAACATCAGGCAGGCCATGGTTTAGGGTGTCCCTCCCACATACTCTTTTTTTCAAAAAGAGAGCTCCAAACTGCATTGCTTCAATACCTAGCACTCTAGCACAGTGTTTCTCAACCGTGGCGACTTTAAGATGCGTGGAGTTCGACTCCCAGAATTCCCCAGCCAATGCATGCTGGGGAATTCTGGGAGTCGAAGTCCATGCATCTTAAAGTTGCCAAGGTTGAGAAATATTGCTGTAGCGGAACTATACCACCTATCCACAAAGGACAAGCCCAAAGGAAAACTACGGTCTTGAATCAAGTGTGGTGGGCATCCAAAAGCCTCCTACTTCCTCAGACGTCCTACCCTGCTCGCTTAACGTCCCCAGGCCTGCAACAACCCAACTGTCATCTTTAGAACGCCTCTCCCCTCCATCTCCCTTCGAAGCCGGCTTCCTTTGTGAAACTTTTGGCACGGCTCTGTGGTCCTTGCCCTCTACCCAAAGCCATGCAAGAACGCACCAGCAACCTAAAATCCATATTTTATCCTTGTGGACCTCCACTTCCATCTTCTCTTCCCTGGGCTGAATTGGATTGCCAGGGTCTCAAGATAAGGCCTGCCTTGGTCATGCCATGATGGAGCTGTGGGTTTTCAGAAATAGAGCACCAGGAGGGTATTTTTTAAAAAACTGTTGCAACACAAATATCAGGGGCCTCATACGCCAGGGGTGTCTGCAGGATGTAGTCAAAAAAGTCAAGATGGTGGCCGCACTGGTGTAATTGAAGTTCCATCTGTTTTTGATGTTGGCTTTTTTGACTGGGCTCTGCAGACACCCTGGCATGTGCACTAAGCCTGTGCCAGCATTCATAATACAGCCATGCCTTTCCAACCAAAAACACAGCAATCCCTCCATTTTCTGCTTCTGTATTCCCACTCTCCTTAAACCCAGTTCCCTTAGTCCATCACCATCTCCTTTCCCTTCACACCTCACTCTCTACCGACCACAAGATGGGTGCGGTACACCTGTCCACAAAGGACAAGCCCAAGATGATGGGGAATGGGGGAGAAGGAAGAGAATCACCGGGGTAAGGTCCAGGTAAGACTCCAGTTTCTTCTTTAAAGGAACTGCCTGCTTTTTCAACTCTGCCAGTTTCTGTGGAAAGAATATGTTCGGTTATTTGTAGGTCAGGTTGAGAATTTTGTAATATAGTAATGGTTCAGTTGTAACCCAAATTTATGGAGTGGTTGACTCCGGGTAGCTGAATCATAAGGGTGGAAGGAACCTTGGAGGTCTTGTAGTCTAACCTTCTAATCTTTTCTTGAACTCCAGTGATGGAGCAGCCATGACTTTAGGAGGCAAGCTGTTCCACTGCTTAATAGCTCTCACAACCAGGACATTCCTCCTTATTTCAAGTTTGAACCTCTGTAAAACTTCCACCCACTGGTTCTTGTCTTTCTCTCTACTGCTTGGAGAATAAACCCACATCCCCTGCCCTGTGACATCCCTTCCTGTATTTCAAGACTGCTTAAGTAAACAACAGTGACATATACTTATTTCTATCTATTGCCAATTTACTTTAGATTTACTCTCACCTTCCCAAATCCTTTGCCATGGTGTTCCTGGTCTGAACGAAAACTGCAGAACCAACCAAGGCAGGAGATGAGAAAGATGGAGAAATTAAATGAGATAGCTGAACAGCTTTCCTCAACCTGATGCCCCATAGATGTACTCCAATGCACAGGAACTCTTGGGATTTTTGAAACAACTTGCACAGGTCCCAGGTTGATTCTCCTCTTTGTGTAATCTGGGCACAGCCTAATTATGGGCTCTGAGCCTCCACGCAGAAAGGTTTGGTGCTGACACAGCCCAGCCCCTGTCTATGTTCCGGAAGACTCAGCCATGGCTCTCACATGCAACCTTCTGCCAGAACGGCACCATTAGAAGCCTCTCCAAAGTCCTACTTTTTCCTAAAAGAGCTGAGCAACTGCTATCCCTCTTTCATTCTGTCCCTCTACCACTTCCTGTTGCAAAATACAAACCTTCGCATTCTGTTTGGCTTTTCTTTTAGCTTCTCCATCACATTCTTTTCCCTCTCACAGCATCTCATTTCACTGCAGAAGTCTGGACCTAAGACCCATTACCTCTAGAATTCTGAAAGCTTTAGAGAAGCATTTGGAGCTTCATCTCAGCACACCCAGATCCAGAGTTCATGTTGCTGAATGTCATTTCCTCCAGCTGCCCAGGTTAAATACCAGCCAGTCCATATCATACTAAAACGTCGCCAACATCTGTGGCATAACACCCACCTCTGACAGAGTCACTAGTGACTCATGCGTCAGGGAAGCATCCAGCCCGCTGGCAGAAAGCTGTTCCTGCAGGGAGAGAAGAGACAGATGAGGGGGGAAAACAGGCAGTAAAGACACAGAATTACTCATACAAAAAGTGTAGAGAGATGTAAAAGCCCACTTCACCATTTCTCACAGAACTGGAAAAAGCAGAGAAAAAGTCTGCCGTATGAAGTTACTTTCAATCAAATCAAAGAAGCGGTCATAGACGTAAAAGAGCCCTGATGTCAAGATGGGCCCCAAAGAGGCCTCGGAGGAGGAAAGGTGAGGATGCCTCTTCAGGATTGGGTCCCTTGGGAGCCTGGGCCATCACAGCCACCTACCAAGAAAGAGCTGAAGCTGCAGAATTGCTAGAACCCAGACTTGTTCCCTCCAGTTCTCCAGAGACTGAGAGCGGAACTGCCCAGCTGATGGCTCAACTGCACCTGGCGGGAGATGCCCAGCTTGTCAAGATTTATAAAGTCAGCTACCTGTTCACTTTCACTATGATCTGCAACTGAAATCCTTGCTCTACACTTGGTTATCCTTCTCTGACGCTCCTGAATGTGTGTGTGTGTGTGTCTGAATTGTGGAATGCTCAACAATTGTCTCTACTCCTCTGCGCTTAGAACTTGACTAAAGAACCCAGATGTGACACAGCCACAGACATCATGCATTATATCTGCATGCGCCAAAATCCCTCCTGTGCTAGCTGGGCCTCACTCTTCTCCTATCTCATCCATGAGCCTGTTTCCCTCCTTAGTCAAATAGGGGAAGATTACCTAAGTTTTTGTGACCAGTAGGCATTAATAGTTCAGCCTAATCTCCATCACTTCCCCTTAAATTCTTCTGTCCAATTTGGTGGCCTTCATCACATCTCACCAATCCTATCATTTAATTATGACTGTGTGGGAAGTATTTCCTCTGCAGAATTAGGCAGGTAGGGAGAAAGAAGAGGAGAGAGATGGGAAGATGGATGGATCCTATCACAGATCCCCCTTTCTGGCCCAGGCAGTAATATTTCTGAGAAGCACAAAGTCAACTTCCCTAAAGCTCTCTGCTCCCATCTGCATTGTTGCTACTTTCTCTTAGTAGAAGGAAGCCAATGAGATACTCCAGTTTCAAAACCTGCCTTCTGCCAACACGAGTGTTAGAAATTTATCTTTAAAAAAAAGCAGGTACAGTAAATAAAAGCAGAAGGGTGCTCCAAGACATAAGGTTGAGATCCTTCTGTTAGAAAACATAAAAACCAAGCACAGTACCATCTTGCTCAGGGGCTTATGCTAAGCTACAACAAGTAGAGAGTTATTAATGACAAATCCTCCAGAGATTCAGAATAATTTTCCCCTAAACATAAGTTGTACTAGCTTCCAATCTGTGCTGAAGTTCTAGCTTGCTCTCCAGTTACAAAATACAAATAAGAGTTCAGAGCCTAGCTTCATACTTCACACTAAGCCATGGTTTGATCAATCCTGGTTTATTAATAAATCACAATTACCTGGATGCACACCAGACTAAGCTATGATTAGTGGCTTACAAATCAGAATGTCCAAACACTAAATCAAAACCAAAGAAACAATATGATGACATTATGCGTTACACAAATCAGAACAAATTATCATTCTTCCAGAGAAGAGGCTGAGCAAAAGCCAACCGTGTCTTAGTTTGAAAGCTGAACAGAATCAGAGCTGGTTGATATTTGCCCAGGAGATCACCATTTTTATCTAACTGCCAAAAAAACCTGGATCCATCCATACAGACAGCAGGAATTGAGACTAACCTTTTGAAAGGAACGGCATGTTCTTCCCAACATAATGATGTTCCTATGCAGAGGAACCTGTCAGCAAGTGAAGTCTAAACTAGTAGAGCCTAAAAAGTCGTATTACTGAAACCTCACAGTTTTGTGCTTTTTTCTTCAAAATCCAAGCGAGCCGTACTATTTGTTTTTCAATTTCTCCTCTTTTCTGTTCCCCTCTAAACAGTTGTTCCCTACACAATTTCAGATTGTGGGATTGGGACCTGCAGGAAACTTAAACGATACTTTTTAAAGACAGCAAATAAGTCCAAAAAAATATCAATTTCATTCCTCAGAAAACTTAGAAATTTTCTTCAGCTTACCTCAGCGGACTTGATTCTGAATTTGATATCTTCTGATTTTTCCTTTAGGAACTTCATATTCTGGGTCCGGCTATCGGCTTTTGCTCTTTCCACTATCAGAAGATCTTCTGTTTTCATAACGTCACTACAAAGTGAAATCTTTTCTGTGACAAAGTCTTAGCAAACCACAGGCAGATGGGTCCTGTGTATTATGAAATAGTGCAAAAGCTTCACAAACACCAGTTTGGTTGTGTAAGACAACACTCTTACAAGTTGCAGTCTTCCTACTACCAGAACCAGGTCTCTGCTCAAAAGCACCACAATGCCTGTCCTGCAACGATCTCTACTGTTCAACTTCCTGGAAGAGGAAGGGTTCCTCTTTGACTACTAAATTTTTGGAGCCAATATTCTCCCCCCACCCTTCTTTAGAGCAGTTTTCTCTGTGAGATCCAGGGGGCCTCTCCCACCCTGGACCTTAGAAAGAACATCAACACTTGCTTTTTCTGCAAGCCTTAGAGGTAGAAATGTCATGATGTTATAATTTTGGGGAGAGGGGAATAAATTGAATTAAAGTTATTGTATTTATCTCTAGTGCTAAATTGGGTGTGTATTGTTTATTATAGATCTTGTACAATTTTAACCTTATTTACAAAAATAGGGTAGGTAAACCACTCAGAGTTGGTATCAGAAAGAATAGTATATAAATCTTGTAAATTAAACAAATAAACACCCACCCACCCCCAAATACCAGTTCAGTCAAATCTCTAATTTGGCAAACAAGGGCCTGTACAAGGTAAGTACTAGCAAAAGACCAAAGGTATAGGACTATAGTGAATATTTTCTTCCCAGATACCAAATCTTCCAGAGCCCAATACAACAATCTGCAATACAGACCATGTTTTAAACATGTGAGAAGATAATCTCTAGCGTGGACTAGACCTAGTTTCCCCTCAAGGCTCACATTTTCAGAATGGAGAGAGAATGTGAGCAATCCATTAGAAGTTCTTGCTACAAAGTAAGGACAAATTTTCCCTTCCCTGTCAAATGGAAGCAGTAAAACTCAACATAGTTTATAAATGCAATAAGGACCAGACTTTGGCATGGCTGCTCCTACATGAAAAGGAAGCAGTATTTTATTCATCATTTATTGATTTACAGAGAGCCAGTTTGATGTAGTGTTTAAGGCATCAGGCTAGAAACTGGGAGACCATGAGTTCTAGTCCCGCCTTAGGCACAAAGCCAGCTGGGTGACCTTGGGCCAGTCCCTCTCTCTCAGCCCTAGAAGGAAGGAAGAGCAAACCTCTTCTGAAAAACCTTGCCAGGAAAACTGCAGGAACTTGTCCAGGCAGTCCCCAGGAATCAACATTGATTCGAAGGTACACACACACAATGATTTACAAGTGGTTTTATGCTGCTTCAGTTAAAAAAAGGAATCAAAGAGTCTTACAAAAGCATTGTATAAAAAGAAACCATAGAGTACATGTAATGTTAATAAATCAATGTACTTCCAAATACAACGGAAAGACCAAATAGGGGTGATAGGTCATATTTGAAGTGGTTTCCAATGTAAACAAGGTACTTCTGAAGAATACAACTCTACCTAAACAGCATCCACTTGCTAAAACATGTTAGGGCTGGGTGCATTCAAAATCAGTATCCTCCATCTATTTTCTGAACTGATAGTTTCCTTTGTCTGGTTCTGCAATGCCACCTGAATCACTAGAACCCAGGATGCATTCTTGGCATATATTTTGGAATAAAAAGAGACAAAATACAATTTAACTATGACAGATTCAGGCCATTATTTTAAAAAATACCGTAATTCAAGCAAGTTGGCTAACTGAAACTCTCTACAACCATGTGCAAAAGCCTTTGGGAGCATAAAGGGGAAAGGTAAGGTAAGGGAAGGTAAGGTAAGGGAAAGGGAAAGGGAAAGGGAAAGGGAAAGGGAAAGGGAAAGGGAAAGGGAA